ATATTCTATCAGAGATATTATTGAAAAATATCAATACAAATCAATTTCTTGTAGATTCTAAATTTATACAATAGCGTTGGCCAAAATTCACTCTCTACCTCTCATAAAAAAAAAAAAACGTAAAAACTCTCGTTAGTGAGTAAATCCTATTTCAAACGTCACGCACTATCAGCTGCGAGCAGAAGCAATTTACCAGGTTGGGTTGAAACGATTTTTATTATCCTCGACAGGCGCAGAGATTGCTTAATGCTCCACTGATTGCAAGTGAGAAGGCCACGCAACTTATACACAGAAACTTTTCAGTCGACCGAAAGAAAAGCACCAGTCGCGAATCCAGCTATTGTGTAAATTTTGCAAGACTCTCGGAGCTCTTTATATATCTGATCAAATTACAAAGAGCGTCTGAAGAGACCTTCTAGCTTTCCTTTCAAGGGCTGATTTACAATGCAAATGCCGTTGAGCAGCTCCGAGAGTGTGGCATTCTTTTCCTTTTCTGTGCGAGAGAGGGATGCTGTCGGTGGATAATGTCTCAATATCTCCATCCAATTACATCCGAAGGCATATGGAAGCCATCGAAAGTGGGCCACGCAATTTATTGCCAAACACACACAGAGTCGAAATGCTAACGCAGATATTCGATTTCGCGTGAGTCCTGCCTGAGGTGCCGAGACGAGGCCAAATTAAATTTCCAGCCCTCTGCAGCAGGGTGGAATGGGCCCGAGCAGCTCCGAGCTGCTGCGTCGACCGGGCACCGGGCGAAAAACGCCGCGCACTGCATTATTTTTTATCATATGTATTTTCTCTCTCTCCGTCCCGGCCGTAAAAGCGTGCCCGGACGATCGTGCGAATTTATTTCCGCGGTGTGCAAACTGATGAGTTTTTTGTATTTTTTATACTTTGCACCCCTATGTACGTATGCGGTGTGCAAATATGTTGGAACCGCCGGGCTGGATTTCCGCTGCGTTTTTTGCCTGCTGGCATTTTTGAATAAAAATGTGTCACTCGCACAAATGCAGGTTTACTCTTTGCTGCTGACACCGTTCCGCTTTGAATCTCTATCCAATTTAAATAACAGTTTTCACGGCGAGTTGCGCGCCAGTTGATATCCCCTCTGTTTTAATCTGATTTGTTTAATGATAGGTCAAAAATTAAATTATTGAAAAAAAATCAGTTTTGTTAAAATCAGACCAGAATCAAGGATTGAATTGCTTTTTTAAATTAACTTTTTATTTATTAAACATTACTAAATATTTCCTATGTTATTGGTTGCATTAATTTGGAAATATAGGTGATTTTACTTACAGAAGTATATAAAAAATTGTATTATTAATTAAATTTAAAAAAAGATTTTTCCTAGAAACGAGTTATCTTTGCCCAAATTTAGTTAATAAATGCAAAAAAGTATAACAGTTTTTTATTCGAAATAACAGCGGTAATCCTTTCTTTATTCTTAATTACCAACACTTTAAAAAAACGCTCTCTTATACAGTATACAATAAACCACTAACGAACAATAAGAGTAGAAAGTTCCAAGTTGAAAAGCATCCGTTTTTTCCTCTACAACAGTAGAAAATCCCATCTCACACCGCGGCTCTTTTTTCGCACACAATTAAACGCCACATTTTTAATTGAAACTTGCCCGAACAAAAGGGGCGTCTGGCGGCGTGTCTCGGAAACACGGATATAAAATGCACCCACTCGCGCAAATCATCCGCCTTTTTCTTCTCCACCGAGAAATAAATTAGCCACCGCTGGGCACAAAGGGATGAGAAAGAAAGAAAGAAAGATGCTTTTTGTTTACAAATGGTATCCACGCGGCGTCTCTCTCACAGTCTCGCACGCCTGAAAAAAGCTGCAGACTTCCTTTTCATAATCAGAGAAACGACGACGACGGATCTCCCTCGGCAGCAGACGATCCTATAATAATAATCGTCATCACAATAAATTTTTTCCTCCCTTTTTACTCGAGCGTAAAAAGAGTGGAAAACTCCGCCGGCTGTGGCGATCGCATATATTTTTTTTCTTCCGTCACTGCGGCGATTCATCTCTTGTAATGAAATTACAATCGATATAGATACACCCCGGGACCCAGCTTTCAGCGTTTGCCAAACTTTGCTGCGAAATCTACGGCCTATTACGTCCGGGAACACTTACTGCTTGCCGAGTTTCAAACTTGGTTGTTGTTGCTTGTTGTTGCAAACAAAGCTGCTGCTGGCGGAGTCGATAACTAAAATGATTCCTTCCATTCGACCGAATAAGGACAAGATTGCTTTTACGGCCAGAGTTGCGGCCATCAAATTTAATTCGGATCGCCAGGCTGAATGGACAGACACACGCGGAATCTGGAAAAGCGCACGATTAATGGCCCCCGGCTGGGCTGTTCTTGATAAATAAATCTGCACTCTGCAGAGAGATTTGCGACCGATAAATCACGCTCGCCGGCAGTTATTCTTCGTTATTGCAGCACTTGCTTGGTGACGCCTTCTCGGTCCGTAATCTCTACTCGAATGGCTTCCTTTTAGAGGCTGAATGCGACGTATTCAAGAAAAATATTACTTGTACCTGCAACATTTCATGCTATATAGCTTATTATTAAAAGCTAATAATAGCAATAGCGGTAAAAAATTTATAAATTCCTTAAAAATAAAAATAATTATTTACATTTACACATTTTTTTAAAAGCTATGTTAAGTGAAAATTTTATATTTACTTGCACATAAAAAGATATTTATAAATTCAGTTTCCTAGTTCGTAGAAAGCTTTCATAATTTCCTTGCTACCCACATAATAAAGTTTAAAAGTGTTAAAATATTTAATTATTAATTATACAAAAATGCATGTCATATAAGACTTAACATCTTCGAACAAAAATAGTCGATCAACGCAAATTTGCAAGTCCAGTTCCAATTCAACAGCATTCTATGCCTTCCGTTAGCATTTTAGTTGTGGTGAACAAAGACAAAGGAAACGGTCAGGAGTGCACGCTAAGAGAGTCGGGACAAAAACAAGGGTGTAGTTTTACAGCCGCGCACGAAACTAGATCCTTCAAACCCACCATCAAAAAGGGGTCCGTGCATAAATGCGCGCGTGGAAAACGCGACCTCTAAACTTTTTACGGAGCTCGCCAAGGCAATTTTTCTCTCCTGCCGCTTGCCGAGAGAGTATATCTTTTGCTCGGCAATTTTATTTCCCTTGTAGAGCGGAGCATTTTGCATTTTTTTTTAAATGCGGGCGTGCCTCGCGACGAGAGGAAAACTTTCCGCTGCTGCACCCTCTCGTGCGCAGATGTCGCCTCTTTTTTGCTCGTTTTCGCGCGATACACCAGCAGCAGCAGCAACACCTCGTCGTCGTCAGATTGAAATATCCTTAACATCTCTCGTTCATCTTTATTATGACGTTACTATAGGAAAATGGATGCCATGAGGATTTTACTCAACCTCGTTTTCCGCAGAGGAGTTTTCTTTTACAGGGGGAATATTTTTGACATGCAATAAATCACTTCAAGCGATTTACCATGCACAAAAATGACGTTTTTGCAGTGCAGTGGACTTGATGCTGAAAGTTTCTTATCACTTATCAGCTTTTAGAAAGCGTCTTAAATAACAAATCGATTGATAAGTTTAGAAAGTGATGGAAAAGCAGATGATTATTTTGGCAACTTGACAGTTTAAGCGCACAACTTGGCATTCGATGAGAGGTTTGTGAAGTTAATAATTTTTTTTTGCATTGAAAAGCCAATGGTTAATCATCAAGTTTTGCCATCACAAGTAAGAAAATACACACACAAATTTAAAAAAAAATACATTACGCCAAAGAATTTAAAGCAATTAAATTTGTGGTTGATTTAATTTCAAGGGGAAATTTGTTATTTCCATCTTCAAGATCTTCAAATTTTATCATAAAATATATAACATTAGGTCTGTGTTATAGTTTATTTTGTCAGCATATTTGGAAAAAAAAACAGAAAAAGATTTAATTTTTTCCACCTGCCTCGGTTTCATGGTAATTTAGAAAATTCTTGAATTTTAGTGTTTTTAACAAATTAAATCTTCCTCTCATGCTCTCATGTATCGACTGATTGTGAGTTTAATTTTGTGTTCAATTTTGAAACGCAAATGCGGCCCAAGGCAAACAAAATTACAACAGGAAAACGAGATTGAAAATATATATTTTAACAAATTTACATTATTATTCAAATTATGGTGCTCAATTGTAGCATCCATTATACAAATTATTTATTTTGCAAAATGAATAAACTCAAATCAGAATATTCACAATCAGTATCACTAAATGTCACGAAAGTACCCTTTGCATTAGCTATTTTCACAATTCGAGCCTATTTTAAATAAAATAATAAACGGTATTAAGAATATAAAAGCCGTGAATTTAAATGTAATTAGAGTTTCATCTTGTCTGCTGTATTCAGAAATTGATAATATTCTATTTGTGAGCATAATCGTTGAATTTTTAACTAATTACATTGCTTTGTATTTTTTTTTTATTCGTATAATTTGTTTAATTTTGCCTCTTTAACATTGTAAAGCTACAAAAGTTTCTGCTAAATATTTTAACGATTTTTCTCCCATTTATCTTTTGCTAAAAAACCGCGTAATTTGGCTCGCCTCCAATTTTCGCCGAGCCTGATTAACGTTGGTTGTAGGGTTGTATTTTTTCCCACTTCGATTCGAGAGGCAAAGAGTTTCTTCCTCATATTTTGATGATATTCGTACATGCAAATTCCGGCTTCATTATTCTGGAGTGGATGCCGTCTCGTTAATTGAGCCGAGATTGGAACACAGGCAAAAGTTTTGCCGGGGCTGCAAATTAATCGCACGGCCGCGCGCCGTCCGAGGGAGAAAAACTGATGCACCGACTGAGATTAATTAGAAATCGTGGTGTGACGAATGGGTTTATATTCCAAAAATCGATACAAACACCTCCTTTTTTTCTCCGAACTAAAAAAGTAATAAAAAAAACTGATGGATTTTTTTATTTTTCAGATCCACTGGGCCGTGGCTACGAGGCGCACATCGACGTGGGCACACAGGTAAGGCTGGAAAAAATACATTGTATAATTTAGGTTAGTAACGCATGGCTGCGTCTCACCCAACAAACATGTGGCGTCGCCGGCGAAAGAAAGTAAGCGTTTTCGCCCGGCAATCAATAAAAAAATGCGCCGGGCCACTTTTCGCACAGCCAGCAGCCTCAGCCAGACCGAAGGAACGTGATAAAGTCCGAAAACTCGAGGCCAAGGGAAATTTCGAGCGGGACCGGAATAATGGGCCCTCGTCGTCGGCGGGAGAAGGAGGCGTGTATAATAATAAAGAGGAGCTGCTTTTGTCTATCCCCGAGGTGGTGTATTTTTTTCGTCGGTTGATAACGCGCCTGTTTATTATTAAAAGTTTGCCATTCCGCCGTTTCTCTCGACCGCAACGCAATCTCAGTTCGCCCTTTTGCCGCCCGGTGAATAAAAGATACCCCGCTTAATATCCCTTGCAAAATGCTCTCGTCCTCGTTATTTCCATTGCGTTCTGTGCGCATTTGCATTTTGAGCCTTTTTGTCGAGCTGCTTAAAACGAAAACTTCTTGCCTTTTGTGTCATGCGCGTGTACACGGATTCTGGTTTTATTAAAAAAACCCAGATTTATATTTGACGCATGTCGAGTGCCATGTGAAATGAAAATCCGGCTGCTTTTGTCACAGCTTACAACATGTGATATGCATAAGTAAATCCAGTGCTGTGAAAAAAAAACAGAATTTCGCTGCTCCGTTTTATTTAATATTTTATTATTATTGTTTATTTGTCCAGATTGTTACAAATACATAAATGCATTGTTTTCAGTAATTGTTGGAAAATAATCTATAAAAAAGGAATTGTTGGACAAAACGGCACCACAACTAGCAAGAATTTTGTTAAAACTAACGAGATTAAATAGACCCTCTCCGCCGCAATGAGCCTCAGATGACTTTGTATTTGTTCTTATCACTTATCACAAATTTTGCCATAGGTAGGCAATCTAAGATCATATTTAGTATTAAAAATTTATATCTAATAAGCACTAATAAGTTATTATGTTATTTAGAAGATGTTTAAATTTTATTTTATTTTTAATGAGAACAATTATTTAAAAAAAATTAAAAAGCACAAAATAATGTAAATATAATAATTGTTTAATTTATAAAATTTCATAGCGTATTTCTATGTAGGTTGAACCCGCAAATCCCACATGTAACGTTAACTTTGGGAAATTTAAATAGACACCGTTCTCTCTCTCTCACCTTTTTGGGATGCAAACGCCAGTAAAAAGCAGCGTTGCGCATTAAATATTAATGCCGGCGGGTCCTTTCGCGGAATTATCTTGGCCGGGGGCTTTGCGAATTTCCATTCGCACACGCGGTGGCAGATACTCGGCCCGTAAAACATCGACTCGTTTAATATTCCAAACGTGCGTCTCTCGCGAGTTAAAAAGTGCACGAGTTATTTTCTTTGTTCTGTGTGTTTGCATAATTAATCCTCGCGCATTCTCATCTCTCCGTCTGAGCAATTACGTCGGCTTAATTAAAATTTAGGCTAGCACGGAGGAATCCCTAATGGTGCTAATCCCGAATGTAGTTAGGAACGCAGCGAGCCGCCACCGGGCGAGCGTGTTTGTCGTTCCGGTTGCATAGCTGCGAGCCGGCAGGCGCTAAATGAGCGGCATTCTTTTGTGTTTGCAGGCTGACATTCGACCGCCGCGGCCCGACGTGAACGCCAGTTACTCCGACGACGAGTACTCCAGCAACAGGAACAGGTTTGCGCATTGTTTTTATTTTCGCAAGTGCGCGTTTTGTGCCAGCAGAATTATAATGGATTGTGCAGCCACGCGTGTCACATTCTCTTGTATGAATTTTTGCGCTTTTCAAAGTTGCAGCCGCCGGCTGTTGACTCTGCGCGCCTCTCTTAATTAGGGAGCCGTGGGTAATCGAGCGACTTCCCTTTCAAAGTTAAACACATCCAGTTCGACGAGATTTAAATGACGAAAAGTAAAATTAATTTAAAACAGACAAAAAAAAGCAAGACTGTGCAAAGAATTCAAGTTCTTATTACAATAAATTTTCATTTTGGCAAAATAATTATTTGTAAAACTGATCATAAATATTCCAAATTATGACAATTTTTTTACGGTTAAATACTTTAAATTAGTTAAAAAAAATTATATTATAATAATATAACTATTCTAAGCAAAAATTTGAATTTTTTAATGTTATTTTTAGTTTTTATCGGTTCTTATAATAAGAAAAAATATAAAATTTATGTTTACTTTGTGTTTCTATTCATTTTTATAAATTTTAATCAACATCATTTGGGAAATAACAAAATATTCTAAGGAATAAATTAAATTATAAGTTGCCAAACAGTTTGTATTGAGAAATTTTGATGTTTCTAATTGCTATAATTTGATCCTTTTTGCAATGTTGAAATTTAGTTATCGGAAACATGCTGTGTCATCGCGTACATTTATTCAAAATATTAGTTCGCTTTAACCCATTAGAGATTTGAATGCCATTTTAATTAACAGCTTGATCAGCTTATAAACAGCTTTTATGGCATGAAACCAATAAGCAAATTTTAATTGAAATTCGTGCAGATCGGTGAGCGGACTATGGGACTCTGGGCGTCGTTACCTGTCACGCGTGACCTCCACCCGAGCGACCGGTCCACAGCATTATTCCCGACAGGACTTCATGGAGCAGTACTGCGTCACCCCCCACCAGCTCAAAGCCCTCGACAAAATCGCCAACGCCGTCAACAACCACCAGGGAGGAGGATTATTTGGCTGCCTCTCCAGCAATCAACAGGTCAGAAACTCTCGCACAAAACAGACATACACTTACCGTGGTGAGCGGGCGAGCTCGCACTGACCACTCGCCAAAATATTCCAACACTAAATCGGTGGTGAGAATAATAATCCAAATGATAATATTTATTTCATGTCGTTGCTTTTGCTGTGACAAGTAAAATTTGATTTTTGTTGGAATATTTTGTGGAGTCGCCTTTATTTTAATCAAATACGTAAAAACTTGAGCTTATTTGCAAATAATTTTTATTAATGCTATAAAAATTCAAATAAAATTAACTTTTTCATCATATTCAATTATGTTTCATGGTTGATGGTATTGATCTGCATTCATTTTAAATATTTAAAAATGATCGTTTCATAGAATTCTCTAATAAAATTTTTATTTGTTTTTATCAAACAGTATTAATTAAAAGTCCTGCAAAAATTGCAACAATAATGTAAAAAAACAAACAAATATAAATTTTAAATAAAATCACAGTTTAGTACAGAAATTTAATCTTAAGCCTCAAAACGATCTATCCATCTTTTATGAAAGTTAAAATTTTTGAAAACTTATTTTATTATTTTAAATCATAATGACACCAGCTGAAGAAAAAAAAACAGCCACTAACAGCCATAGTGATAAGAAAAACAACCAAAATAAACCGGACAGTGCATAATGCAATAGTGCAAGCCAAAAAAACATATCTGGACCCAAAGCTCTATTGCGAGGATAAATTTTGAAGCATAAACAATTACTTATAAAAAAAATCACCAAGTCTAGCGATATAAATAAACATAAAAATACGCTTTTCCCCCTTTTTTATTACCGTATAATTTAAGATGAAACACCTCGAGCTTATCCATTTTTTTCATTTCAATATTTGAAAAAGTTTAAAATTTTGTAAAACGTGCTTTTTCAGGGTTCACCGTGTAGCAAATCGTCCCTCCTGTCACTATGTGTGGGTCGGCAGAGCAACGGGGCCGAGGAGATGGCACAGTATTGGCCCCAAAAGCCGCCCAGATCATCGCACCTGCCTCCTGCTCCACCGCCGCCCGCAAACCCGGTAAGTCCAACATCGAAATTCCCTCGCACCTTGTTAATTATTGGCCTGATGCTGGTTAGGATTAATAAGCCTGTTACTGAATTCATGAAAAGTTGCTTCCGTTGAGCGTTGATATGCGCGCTGATACGCCTTTTTCACAGACACGAGTTCAATTTGATAAAAAAAAGAACGCAGCAAAAACTCGATACATTGACTGACCTACTCTCTATTATAAATATTGCACGCAAAATCTCTATCTCTGCCTTTGTCTATCTCTGTCCTCTGTGAGACCTACTTGTTTCATTGTTAGAGTGGCTGATAGTGGTTGACTCCATTTTCTTTTAAAACCAACCTCGTTTGTCCTCCATCCTTTAAAAAAACATCCTGGTGATATTTAAATTTTTGAATTTTGAAAAATAAAAATGTAAAAATATCCAAGAAGTCGTAGATTAATGTAATTTTGAAAATGGGCAATATGCGACTGGCCACCCTACTCAATGTCGTGCTGGCATGCCTGTTTCTATGTCCGAACAGGCCGGACGTGGTGGACGAGGAAGGTATCAGTGGGTACCTGAGCAGGCCGAAGAAGCGTACCATAGCTTGGTGAGTGGCAAGAATATTCGATGTACCGCTTCTCTTCTTTCATTTTCCAAACATTTTCAAACTTTCTCTCAGCATGATTTTCCATTTTCGACATTTTACTCTAAATGTGCACATTTTCATGTTGGATATTTCGTTTGATGTGTATTTAACAAAAAGCTGTGTGGAAAAGAGTAAAATTAGCGAGTCTCTTTGAATTTTTCATCTGCATAAAACATGAAAAGAAGTTTACTTTGCCCAGAGTAAATTAAAAGTTTCTCTTTCGAGATAAAACACTTTCTCGCTATATTTACTCTTTCATTAACTCGCATTCCGTCAAAGAATGTTATCTTTGATGTGCTTGTGAGATTCTATCAACTATAATAATTTCTACAAAATTGTTCTCCGCAGCCATAAATTAATTCACGTTTGATGAAATTACAAAAAAAATCTTTAATTTCCAAGTGGCTGAAAATTTTTGGAAATCAAACTTGTTTAGTTGAAAGTTGAAATCCTGATAAAACTAAAAATAATCAGGCTCAAAATTGACGTGTCTTTTAAAATAATCAAAAATTTTCAGCTCAATTAATTGTCATTCACTCTCGGCACATTAATTAAAACAGCATGGAAAATCATAAATAAACACTCATGTAAATATACAAACTTTAATTCAAAAATTCAGCACAAAATTTTCCTCATCCTCTCTCATGGTTGGCGTGAGTGAAAGTTTAAAGACGCAATTAACGAGAGTGTGGCCCCCACGCAGGAGCGCCCACGGCCGATACCCATCGCCGGATTTCCGACGCAGGACTTCAACAAGGGTGGCGAGGGCAGCGGCGGCCAGGGTAGGCTCATCGGCCAGGGCAACATGAAAATCACCGAGGAGCAGATTAGACAGGCGCAGGCCAGAATGCGCGGTTTCAACCACACAGAACCCAACACGCCGCTCAGCTCGAGAAGGGGACACGCGCTGGTAAGCACCATTAAATTTGCATAGCTTGGATGCACTCGTTCCGTGTCGAGGTTTGCAAAACGAGAGAGAACACTCGGGCCGGCTGGCGAAATAAATTGACATTCTGCGGCAGCAATGTGAAATGGAGATGAAACATTGACCCCGTGGCTTGTTTGCTTTGCGCGATATCGTTTTTGAGCCGGTCGGAAAACGCTTTGAAGATTTCTATGAGGCAGGGCGAAGCATACACTTTTATTTGTACCTCCAAAGGTTCTGAATCCAGGGAGAAAGAGTAAAAAATAAATTTAAATTTTTATGAGTTCCATCCCTTGTTTTTTAAGAATAAATTTTCTTTTAGACATTTTGTTCTTGTGATGTCATTCTATAATGAGAAATCATAAAATGATACAGCTTTTCAGCATAATATATAAAAAATTTCCAACTCAAGATGAAAATTAAGCAGAGAGCCGAAGCCAGTATTTTTATATATGAAGGGAGGAAAGAAAAGAAAATAAATATAGTCAAATGCATATATTTATAAACATGAAATATATAAAATCCTCTGCAGACCAAATTTTTATTTAAAAATAGTTAATATTATTGTTATGGCATAAAATATTTAGCAAATAACGTTTTTAAACAATGATCGAGCTGAAGATTCCATTGAGGGATTTTTATTTCTTTCATTTATAGGACATCGACGATGGAAGACGGGGCAGCAAACATGTCAGTTTTATGGAGCACAGAAGCGGACTTGTGCGCTCGCAAACGACGTCCAGCTTCGAAGAGGCCCATTTGGGCGCCGCAGCCAGGTGGCGCATGGCCGCAGCTCGGAGTCAAGAGCGACTCCTCGACGGGCCCATGATCAAGCCCAAGAAGGCGAATTACTGCTTCACCCACGAAGAGGAGTCGCCCGCCAAAAAGACTGTGATTATGGGTGAGTTGCAAATTAAATGAGTCATTTTCAAAGTTGTAGGGAAGAAATCCCCAATAATTGAAGAAAAGTTGAATCAAATTACATTCATTGTAATGCTTACATTGTGAAAATTTACACATGAGTTAGGGAATATGAACAGTTTTTTTAATAAAATTAAAATTAAAATTTTTTGTGTAAATTGTAAGCTCATAATTATTATTATTTTTTACTTCTTTTTAATAAAACCTCCACAAATTATTTAAATTTTTTTATTTTGATAATTTGCAAAAAACATTTAATAAAAAGAAAAAGAATATATATTAAAAATGAATAATAATTTTACAAAAAATATTTTTACAAGAGTTGCCATTTTTTTTATTGCAAGCTTAAAATTTGTGCTATTATTTATTATTGTGCTTAAAAAAAGTCCAAGCATCAAATTATTGTGCAATGTTAAGACTAAACTATATTGTTTTATAATTCCTAACCTTTTCCTCTTTAATTAATTTGGACTTGATGAATTCTCTGGTTACCCTAGTGGGCAGGGTGTGGAGTTTAAATTCACCACCCACACTATTCAAATATTTTTCTCACTGGGCGGTGGCTGCTGTTGACAGAAAAGCTGAAGAGGGCGGCCATGAAGACCCAGGCCACGCAGACGGAACTGCCGCTGCCTGCGGTGGTGCAGAAGCCGCCCAGAGAAAAACGACACCACCACCACCAGCACCACCAGCACGGCTATTTGTCACTCAGCCCGCGCTCCATGCACAAATCAACGCAGGCCCAACGAACGAGGTATTTATTGCTTCCTGATTCCCCACGCAGCGGGCGCAAAAGTTGTACCGCAAAACTAGTTTATCGAAAGGCAGCAGATTTCCTAGGGACTTTCGTAACATAATCAATACTGCTGAAGAAATTTTATCAGTGAGATGTATTATTCTGACTTAATCTAGCTGAATAATAATTGTTGTATTAATTTTTTTTCGCAAGAATTTTACTTAAAAGGTTATTACATCTTAGATCCCAGATAGTTTTGTTCAATAAATTATAACAGTAACTTTTTTATTTTATTTAAATAATTGAATTCGAAACAAAATTTAAAATGGCCAAATATTTTTCATGTGATTCCATTGAAAATTTAAATAATAATACTCAGTAGTTTTTTCTTATTCATGAATCTAAATATACAGCTCTAAAAAAAAAAAATAGTAGTAATATTAAATTGAAAATGTAGGATTTATTTGTACTAAACCCTCTTCAACGTGTTAAATTAAGAGAGCTTCTGGTTAACTTATTTTATTATCATCTGATTATGAAAAGCTTTTGTAAATTATTCACATTTTAGAAAGAAACATGCTTACAAATCTTCCTTATTTTCCCTCTTTCTAAGTAATGCACTGAGCATGCAATGCATCCTAATCTCTTCTCCGCCCCCCTTTCTACAACCTTGTCATCCGTTAAATGCAGAATAATGAAGAGTTACTCGGCGTCTTGCGGCGGGAGCACGGCCGCCCAGTCGCAAGCCTCTGACATCTCGTGCATATCCGGAAGCACTTCTGGCTGGGAGCACATGCAAGACAGTGCTGACGACGACGACCACGAGGAACAGCCCTTCAAAGACCGCCCTTTCATGCAAAGATCGCAATCGGCGCAGCCATCCACGCGACACAAGGTGAGTTCGCCCCGCTAATTAGAGACGCGCGCTTTTATTAATTAATTTCAAAAACAGTGCCAAGACAAGAGAGACTTGTCGCCGCGCTACAAAGAGATTTTCATCGATTTCGAGCCAAATCCAAACAAAGTTTCGCCCCAACCATCCCCCAAATCAAAGAGACCCCTCCACAAGACCCTTTCTGAGGGCGAAATCCTGCTCGAGAGGAGGAGAATCCAGCACTCTGATTATATTGATAGGGTAAGCGAGTTCAAAAGCATGATTTCTAAAAAAAAGCTTCAAATTTGATATAAAATGCTACATACTTATTTTACAAAGTGGTCAATTTTAAAATGTTACAATTCTAACGTTTTGAGGATATAAATTCAGTGAAAGAAAAACAATTGTATTTTATTGGAAAGCCCTTCAAGGTCTCAAAATATGGAATATAAGAATAAAGTGATTTACGAATTTTGAAATTTATAATTTTTTAACAAATTGCCGACATTGCTGTACCTTTTTTCACACAAATTAAAGTATGCAACCTGCCGCACAACCATGTCGAGCAGGTTGCATCCAGTTGAATTTGTTTTTAAAAGTTAAAACTTTATTTTAGCAATGCGAATCATCAGCAACCGTGGAGGACGCAGAACTTTATGGGCGTCATTTCGATCCAACCTCTCCTCCTTGCTCACCGCAAATGCCCTTAGCCAAAAAGTCTTCCGAGGGCACGGATGGCACCAACGGCAGCATGTTCAGTTCATCATCCCTGCTCGACGAAGAGGAGTTCCACGAAAACATTCTTGTAAAAATTGATATCAAAATTCCGTATGTATATAGAAGATCAAGAATTTTTTCCAGATGAGAGAGGGCCTTTTTGGCAAAAGACGATTGTCCCTAGACGGCCGTTCCGTCGGTCGATCCGAAGACTCAGAATTTTCAGACGATCGAGGAGCGGATGAGGTTGAAAGAAGACCTCAGAGCCAGCCTGCAACTGTGATAACCACTTCAGGTTTTTAATCATGTTGTTACTTTAAAAAATAAAATTAATTATTTTTCCGACAGGTTTGCTTCTGCTGCCAGACACCAGTAAGCAAACAGGAGGTTCTTCCTGCGACTCTCTGTCGGTCAGTGGCTACACCGGCAGTCAGCAAAACACGTGGCGCGAATCGCAGGCCACCGTGATTGGAATTAATAATTCCGACCTAGAGAACATGGGCAGCACGTCCGAAGTATCATCTGGATCAAATCAAAAGCGTGGAATTCTGATCGTGAGCCAACAGCAAAAGCCCCTGGAGGCTGAATTCACTGAGGAGGATGAATCAGTCAAACCACCCACAGAAAGGTTTAAAAAATAAATATTTTTGTTATGAAATAATTTCCTTTTTATGAATAGGAGAAAATCTGCTTCTCCCCAACCGCCAAAGCCTGTGTCTTCGCCATTTTCTAACAAAGCGTCTCCGTACCAATCGCCATCTCTTCTGCGACCTTCACCAGCCTGCATGGATGTGTCTGAAACTTCTGAGGACTACGTTACAGCCACAGACAATTCAGGGGCAACGGATTCCAGCTCCAGACGCCTTGGGGTCAGTTTAGTATTTTTCTATTTTATTAGATGTCTCTTAAATATCATCATTAAATAGCTTTCTTGAGTATAACACATTTCCAAAAAAATATAGCGGCACAATAAATTGTACAATATTTCATTTTACATAGAGCACTTTTAGAAGCCAAATTTCCTAATAATATTATTCCAAATAAACATAGTTCCAATGTTAAATTTTTAATTTTTTTTACCAATTTTTATTAAAAATTTTCACGCTTTTTACAATCATAGTTTCCATCACTCCAAATAATGGCCATTATAATTATGTGTATACACGTGTGGCAACAATGTGAGTGTGTGTGCATGATTGTTGTAGCCTGATGGACAGCATGAACCCTCAGGAACGTCTTCCAGCAACCTGGGTGAGGGGGGCAGTTCTTTTGAAAGTGCTTCATCCATGCACAGCAAAGATGAGGTGAGTGTTTTTTTAAAAACACGATTTCTTGTAAGTTATAGAAAAAACACATTGGTAGACTTCTTATGAAAAATTGTAATTGGTTTAATTAAACGTTTTTTTATTATTCTAAAAGGTGCCTCTTGAAGCATCCGAGCCAATGGGCGGCGATTCGACGCCGACCCCGCGCCCGGACTTGATCGAATGCTCGGCCAAAGTTCCTGCCGAGTCTGCGTCGTTAAGTTCACCCAGCGCTGAAAGCAGCAGTAGCCAAGGAAGGTAATCGACCGAATTTTACCTTCTTTTGTAAATAATTGTAATTGTGATCGGCGCTTAATGCAGTTACAGTCTGCAAGGAAGCTCGGCGGCCGACGCTGACCAAGCGCATTCGTCGCCCCACCTCGCTGAAAAATCTAAAGCGAAAGTGCCCTTTGATGTTTCCACCGTTGAACAAAAGCCCACGTAAATGTCATAATTTAAATCGTAGATAAATAAAAGTTTTAATTTCATTTGTAAAAGTTTAAAATAAATAAGTTATAAATTGGTGTTGTTAAAAAATAAATATTTATAAATTAGGGGCGAGATTTTTAAATTCATATAAAAATGTAGAGTAGTGTTTTATAGGGAAACTTTTTAATAAATCCACGTTGCACAGAATTCAACAACCAACCACAGCACAATGGGGTGACGAAGAGAGAACAAAGGCTAAACGCGGCTTCAAGCTCGACTTGCCGAGCACCCCGTCGCCCTCTAAAAACGAAACGGCCATCCCTGTGACAAAGCCGCCGCGCAGAAAACACAGGCACCCTGGTAAGCCTCTAAAGTATTTTTATTCTTCATTTTTGCAAAATCCGATATTTTTAGTTGAGCCTGCAGAAGTGACAACTCCGGGAATGGTGAGGTCCCCAGCAATGCATCAAGGCTTCCGAGCTGAAGACTGGGTTGTGTCAAGATCCTCTCCGAGCACTTCCATTCCACCAACTATTTCCAACATTCCTCCGTCAGAGCGAATTTCCCCTCAAACTGCAACAATGGTAATCAATTTTTTATTAAAAAAAAAAATTGAAGTAAGCAACTATTTAAAAAAGCAAAAAAAATAATTTTAGTAAGTTTAAAAAATTAATTAAGTGAAACAGAAATGCGTATTATTTACTTTAATGGATTTGAAAGAAAGCTTTTTACTGTCAATAATGCTTTAGAATATTTCAGTGATTTCAGTAAATATAAAAAAAAATTAAAATTATCCTGGCGCTTAGAAATGTAATTTGATTTCCTTAAAACTTTAAATTTAGGCTTTAAAATGGATGGTTTTCTTTTTACTGAATCAATTTATAAAGGAATTAAATTTTTAATAAGGTTGCAATATATTTTCATGATCATATTTTTTATTCAGGCTGTGTCACCTGGCAGCAGGAGGCTGCAAGCAATGCGGCGCAATTCTTCAAGCAGCAGCAGCAGTGATGAGGGAAATGTGCGCCGCACCCCCAGTCCTTCAGGTCGAAGTCCGACTAATTGTAAAACCCTTCCGAGAGCCAGTCCGAGAAGAAGACCTGCCAGAAGTCCGACGGCCAGTCTTCAAAGGTAGATTTTTTTTTAAATAATCTACAAATAATAACTCTTGAAAATGAAGACCTATTAGGCGGAAGAGCGTTTCCGATGAAACCAAGGGAATCAGCACATCTCAAACCGCCCTGCCCGCCGTCACTTACACAGCCAGTTCGGTTCGGAGAAAGTCGGCGCCTAAAATCTGCTCGCCAGTCAAAGGTATAAAGATTATGAGCTGTAAATTGATTCAGTACGTAGGACACTAGTCGTTTTCATCTCAGGTCCCGACGGGAAAATCGTGCCCCCAGAGAAACTGCTGTCGCCCCACCCGCACCACAAGTTCCACAGTCTCGGCAGAAAATCTGGGTCTAATAAGGTCGGTTTCGGAGGAAAATAATGTTTGGTATTTTTTTTCTAATGTTTTTTAATTGTGATTCAGACGAGTCCGGTACATGTAGTAAAAACTGCTGTAAGTGCCGAGAGTCTGCGTTCTGTCAGTCCAGGGAGTGACTCTGTGTTTTACGACCCACAACTCTCAGGTTCCCCATCAACTGCAATTGGAACAGACACATCACCTCAAGTGAGTTAAAAAATAACTAAAAAAAAAATTTAAATTATTATTAATCTAATTATTATTATTGTAATAAGAACAGAAATCCAACTCTTCAATGGACCTTAAAAACTCTAGATTTAAAAGAAAAAAATTTGGCTTAAAATGCAAAATTGTTGAAATTCCCTCTTAAAAATGAAAGTATTAATTTTTTCAGGCAACTCAGTCAGAGGCCGCGCCAGCTAACGGGGATGCCTTTATTGTCAAACCGCCAGAAGGTTTTGGCGACTCTCCCGAAGGTCCCAAAAAACCTGGTGGAAGGTAAATTTATTTTTCAATTGTTCAAAAAATATTTTAAATAAATTTTCAGGTTGTATAAGAAATTGGAAAAAAGGCGTTTTAAGTCTGAGGAAAGGGAAAAGGGTTCCTGCAATCACCAGCACAAGGAGGGCACAGGGACGCACCCTCGGCGGCACCAACACAGGGCGTGCAAACACGCCACCGCCAGGGCTAAGTCTGAAGAGCGGCGAGGAGAGAAAGGCGATAACACCAAGTATGTTTAATTTATCTTTTTCTGTACAAATTGTGCTTAATTAGACTTAAACTCAAGGGTTGCTTCTTCGAGATCGGCAAACTCAAGTTTGGAGTTGTTGCGCGCGTCAGGAAGTTCTCCAAACATGCAGCCTGAAAATCCAGACGAGATTGGTGTGATTTACGGCTCTTACAGAACCGCCTTTTGGCTTTACATTTCCCCTAGAGATGAGAAACTTGTGTGGAAAAAACCTTTGCCAGCCACACCAAGTGGTAAACAAAATTATTTAAATTAATTCATATAAATTGTTTCATTTTATTCTACTTAATGGAATATGGTTTTTAAGGCTCGCTTTCTCACTGTGACAAAAAAAAATAGTTTCTTAATCTTTTTTTAATTCAGGTTCACCACCCACATCTCCAGACGGCTCAACCTGCAGCGAGAGGGATTTCCGGCGCCGTTACCAGGCAGTAACTCATCGGATGGTGCACAGAAGGGCCAGCGCCGAAATGTTTGAGCGACTGGCGGCCAGAACGTTTGGTGAGTTGAGTGTTGTGCTTAAAAAAACAGCACATTAAAATTTAGATGTTTCAGTTATTTAATACATTAAAATTTAATAACTATTTTTAAGTTTTATTTTTTAACATTTAATTTTTTGAAATGTTATATTCATTAGCAGTAATGTCTAGCAAAACTTTCAATCATAAATTTTTCAAAAGTAAAATTCAACTGGAAGTTTATAAAATTTTATAAAAAAATAATAATTAGTTACGCGTCAATGTTAGTACCAGGGAGGGTTAATCTCTATTAATTTGTTTGTTCATGTCTTTTTTTTTAAATAATCATGGAATAGATTTTAATTTTTCATAATATAATTCACATTTTTTTTATTATTTATCATTTCATATCTTGAAAAAAACTATCGTGCATTTATTAAACAAACCATCAGTATTTTTGGGCTCAAGTGCACCAAAAATTCAAAAGCAACCTTGGCACAGTGGCACTGGTTGCCAAACCAAACACTCTGCATATTGTGCAAGTCGCCAGCGGCCTAGTCACAAAATGACACAGAAAGCCTTTGGTCCAAAATATGCGCAGCTCCTCTTTTGTGTCGGCGCAATTTACATCACGTACGAAAGTAATTTGTTGACAAATAATGCGCCCGAGATAAACGCCCAGCGAGCCGGCAAATAAATCACAATTGCGCAGCCAGCGCGCGTCCGAAATAGAGTTTAGAGTTCTCCATTATGCAGCGAAGAATCTGAAGCACATGTCGGGACGCGTTTTTTGAGGAATTCTTGAGTGGCAGAAGGATTTTTATTATTTGCTCTGGCGAAATGCCACTTATTCTAATACCCACTCTGGCATGCGCGAGTCTATTTTTGCCCCGGAGATAAATGAATGGGTGGTGATTTTTGTGACGCTCGGTCACAAAAAGTGCTGGCAAGTATTGATTAATTGATTTTTAATTGACCCCAAAGTACAACATTCAATTAATTTTTGTAATAACAATAAATTTTTATTTCCTGCAAAAATATTAATTAAATAATTTTGCAAAAATAATGCATTTTAGTATAATTTAAAAATTCTTTATGTAGACAAGAGATTTGGGTAATAAACTAACTTGCAGCCCAAACTCTTGCAAAACCGCAAACTTTGCTGGGTCTCGCGACCACTTAGCATAACTGCTGCATGAAACAATATCGTGTGTTATTTCTGCCTGGTTCGCTGCGAATAACAACTAATTTTAGCGCACGGCGCCTCCGTCCCAGCGCTCATTAAGACCGCGCGCGCTCCTCTGCGAAAGCGCTTTAGACAAATTTACTGGTCAGTCATGTTCGAGGGAGTTTGTCTCGCGGACCAGGTAGACGAGGTGTACAGAGCCCTCTTGAGGCTCTACTGCTGGCACGAGGTTGTCATCAGGTTGCTCGCCAAAAATGGTAATTCAGAATCCAATTATATATCAGGATAATTTTTAATAATTATTAAAAAATTTAATTACCTCCAGAAGTAAAGTTTAGATGGTTTAATCTTTTTCTCTCTCTTATGGACAGTTTAATTTACTCTAAAATAATATTATTTCAGTTAAAAAATATTTTCATATTAATAAATTGATAGTTTCCATGACTATTAGTGTAATAGGGGTGGTAGACAGAAATGAACTTTCATATAATAAATTTTGTCTCAAAGTCTCCTACGATGTTCATAAATCACAAAATAATATTATATTTTGTTTATTCGTAATGTTATTTCTTGAAATAATAATTATATATGGCATAAAAAGTATTTCCTGCTGCAAAGAAATTTTACGTTGGAACAAAAAATGATCGTAATAATTTATTTCAAAGATTTGAAAAACAAACATATGAGCTGAATGAAGTTTTAGGGATTCAAATAAAATGTTTTAAAGAAAAAAAATATAAAATCTGGTGTACCAACAATAAGAAACAAATCAAATCATGAAATTAAAATTCGTGTTTTATTTTGTAGAAACTGAGCAGACCGTGACTGTGCGAAAGGGTGATGGCGAATTTGGATTCCGCATCCACGGTTCGCGGCCCGTGGTCGTGTCGGCCATCGAGCCGTCCACCCCGGCCGAGAGCTCTGGCCTCGAGGTGGGTGACATCGTGATCAGCGTCAACGGCGTCAACGTCTTGGACGCGTCCCACTCCGAAGTGGTCAAAATCGCCCATGCAGGTCAGTTTTCGTTGGAAACTGCAGCAAATAATTTTATTTATTTATTAATAATTGTCCTTTTCTGATGTAAATACAAATAATATTGATTGATTTATGTTATCCTCTACTCTTACGCACTCTTATTATTTTATAATTATAAATTTAAAATAAACTTTCATTAAACTGCTCGTAGCATAAAAATAATATCATCTAAATGTGTGATATTGAAATATATGTTTGTGCATTAAAAACAGTTCTTATTCTTCTATAATCCAAAAAGTAATTTTTTTACCCTTTAAATGTTTGTATTTAAAAAGTATTCGCTTTTTTCTAACGCAATTTGAAGTAATCATAGCTTTTTCTTTTGTATTTGGTCTGTTGTGTCCTGAGTTGCTTGCCTGGTTCTTTGCTGTACTGATTGTTGGCAATCTTCTTAGCTGGTAGAGTTCGCATGATTTTAGGCTCCGAGGTGCTGCAGCTCGAGGTGGCCCGCACCAGGCACCTCATCAGCCCCGACGAGAGCGACTCGCCCGAAATCGTCGTTGGGGTTGAGAGGTGTGGACACTTGATGAAGAAGACGCCTACTGCCGGACAGTGGGTGCACCGATGGTTCGTCCTGCGATACGATGGATGCCTTTATTACTATAAAACGCCATCATTGGTAAGATTTTAAAAAAAATTCAAATATTTAACAAAAATAATTAACTGTTTATTTTTTAATCTTCAAAATTTTTATTTTCATTTAATTTAAATAAATAAACTATTTTGCGTTTATGATTTATTTTATTATTACTATTAATGTTACTTTTACTATAATTTGTAAAAATTTAAAAAAATATATATAAAAAAACTAAAGAAAAAATTATTAAATTACAAAGCCTATGTCTCAAGTATCTCATTAATTGGGTTGTAAACAAAATTTTGCTGCAGAAGTGAATCACTTCAAGTGATCGATGTAAACATTTTTAATATTTCTACTGTCCAAACTTCAAATTGTATAGCAAATAATTAATCTGGGGAATTTTAATATAAGTTATGGCGCAAGTTAATGATTACATGGAGTATGGCCAATATAGTGTTTATAGCACGTTTTTGTCATTGGTTTGTTTTTGTTGACGACGCAATTTTTTTTTAATAAATAATAAAACATAACTAGAAAGTTGCTATTTGAATAGTTTGAACAAGGAACTTAAAATTTATTTATTAATGCAGGAGAGTCGACCGTTGGGAGCAATCTTGGTGTCCCAATTCACCGTGTCGGCCCCTGACCCCGCAATCCTTCCCGAGGGTGCCAACGACCCCCGGTGGCTCATCCGCCTGCTCAAGGACGGCATCCTGGCGATGACCCTGAGTGCAGACAGTCAGGCTGAGCGGGACCAGTGGCTGTCCAGCCTTTACACGGCTGCCACCACTCCAATCAAGGTTCCAAAAAACAATATTCCGGCAAAATTTGATCTCACTTTGTCTTTGGTGTGTTGCGATGCCGTTTTATTTGATTAATTACTTTCTTCCTTTTTATGATATTTTCCTCAAATAATTGTGCTGTTTTTGTCAGTTTTACTCGTTCTGTTTGTGTGGTTTGGTAATTTGATCGGAAGATTTTGTCGACTGAGATGAATTCAATGGCGTTTTTACTCCAGTGGGAAGACCGTTTGGTGAACAGAGGCACTTTGGGCCTGAACCCGTCGGACATTATTAACCCAGACTGCTTCGGATTCCTCAACAAACTCGGACGGCGCTGGAGGAACTGGAACCGCCTCTATTGTGTCCTCAAAGATGCGTGTCTCTTCCTTTTCCCTACTCCAGACTCACCCCGAGCCTCAGGTACATAAATATAATGTCACAAACTTGACAAAGATTATTATTATTATTTTATTATAGAGAAAATTAATACCTAAATCAGAGAATATTGATTGAATTTATTAAAGGAACACCATAGGTGTGCGACATTACATATATATATATATATATAAATCAGAGAATATGAAAAAATTTTACTTCATTATTAATTGAGTTATTATTATAATTGCAGAAGCAGTATTCATTTAACAAATGATTAAAATATAATAGGTCAAGTCAATTATGATAATTTAATGAAATGTTTCTACATTATTTACATTATGAGACAAAAAACTTTAGAAATTCTAGGATATCTATAAATATTAATAAATACCTTAACAAATTTTGCATAAAATGGTAAAGAAAAAATATTAATGTTATTTAATTTTTCTATGATAGAATTAATTTAATTTTAAATCACAAATTTATTAAAAGATTGAATTACAAAAATACATTCTTTAAAGTAGAAAAAAAAATTTCTTATAAATTTAACAATGAGCGAAACTTTTCCTCCAAACAACTGTTTTATAACTTTTAATTAAATGGGGCTGTTAGCTGTTTATTTCTTCTTTTTTTCATTAAAAACACATATTTTGCACAAATTGGGCAACTGACATATTTCTCATTTCTTTTAGGCCTTCTTTGCCTGCATGGTTATCGAGTGCAGACTGCAAGCGCCGGCGGCAAAAGATTCGCCTTTGATCTCTTGGCGCCAGAGTCCAAGCAAAAGCATTTTTACTTTCACACTGACACTGAACTTGATAAGAAAAGGTATTTTTTTAATTTGTAAAAAATTACAAAAAAAAAAAATATTATAAATTCACTTCAGGTGGATGGCTGCGTTGGAGTACAGCATTGACAGATGGCTGAAAATCGCCTGAATTGCACCAAAATCAGCCTTGTTCCTGCATCATAGTTCGCAAAACTGATTTTAATTGAAAAATAGCTCCCAAAAAAAAAGAGACGGAATCAAAAGGAACCTGTAGGAGCAAAATTTATAAAAAAAAAATTAATGTGATTTGTGTTTTTATGTCAATGAAAAAATTCAGCTACTCTAAACATGATATATAAATTTAACAAGTCTTATACATAATTGGAAATTGTTACACCCTATTGAATAATTACATAAAGTATATTTGGAGGTGGAAAAAATGTATTCCTTTCTTGCCAGCGAGCATGATGTTTATGGTTATATTGACAATTATTCACTAAGCGCATTGTTTCTAAAAGATAGTAGCTGTACATAAACTATTTAACACTTAACACGCAAAGCACTGGGAGAATCGTTATCCAAAGTCACCATTTTTAACATTAGGTGTTTAGGTGTAACAAAATATTTTTATGTGCCCTCTGCTATTTAAAAGTTTAGAGATAAAACAAACGAGGCCTACTAATAACGTATGTTTAAAGAGAGAAACCAGAAATACATTAATTTTCAGTAAATTTAATTTAACTTATCAAAATCAAATTCAAGCTCACCGTTTTTGCCCATGGAAAATTGTTGCAGTTAATTGTTTAAAAATTAGTGCTGCTTTTCATCGCTTTAATTAGACATTATAAACTATTCTGGATGTAATGTTCCTTTTTAGAGAAAAAAATTGAATAATCAACATTTTCTTTTTGATTTGAAAGTTAAAAAGTGTTTCGATAATAAAACAAAGTGGATAATTAACGTGATGTGTACTCAGAATGTGATAAATATTAGGGCTCAAAGAGAACTATTGATCAATGTGCATATCTCTAGAGAGGTGGTGAGTTTGCATAACGACCCTGGGGCCCAGATTAAAAGTAAGAAACAAAAAATGCCGCTGAAATAAAAACGCCAAAACGGATAATTTTACTGAGAGAGAAATTTTATGCCAACACACACGGCCGTGTGGGTGGAATCGTATGCGGGTATATCAAACAACACACACGCATTGTAACTAAAAATTAACAGACACACACAAAGAGACTTAAACGAAAAATCCTTTAAAAAAGCGTTAATGATAAAAAGAAAAACAATGAATGGTGCCAAAAAGAATTTTTACGTAGGAGTAAAAGTTTAAATATATCAAAAAGAGGATGTATGTTGGAATGTTTCCAAAGTCCAGGTTCATGTACAATATTGACCTGAAGAGAATATTGAGAGATAAAAAAAAATGTGACTAAACTGCCAAAAGTTTATAATTCTATATCATGCAAAAATGTATGTTACATGTACCGGCATATATATGGAAGAATTAGAAATAGTTTAAAAAATGGCCAAGCACAAATTAAGCATTGATACAAAATTCGGCAAAGGGTGCAAAAAATCACATTTTGCTTTTGAGAAGAAAATGCAGATGGATTCATCAGATTACTCAAATAGTGATCACTATATTTAATCACTTCTAAGAGTGAAACATTCCTGAAATGGAAATTTTTAAATATTATACATTTTTAAATGTGTGCTTGATCGGCGCATTCATGGCGCAAAATGAAATGGCGAGAGTAAAAAATATTGTATTATGCGCTGGAAAAATATTTTCTTTTGGATCTGCTTGGATTGTGTGCAAATACACAAAAAGTTTGTTTGTTTTATGGACCGGTGTTTCTATGAATATTAAATTTTCATTTATTATGATATGACGCTTTTAGTGCGATTTTGGCAACTGTGGGGTTGATATTATTCACGTGGGAAACAAATAGAACTGTTGCAAAATGTTGCTACGGGAAAAGCGCTGCATTTCTTTCCTGTTCATCAAAATTAAAAATGTTATACATTCAAAGAGTTTATTTGGTTTTAATCCTTGATTTTGACTTCTAATCTTGTAAAAAATTCAATTTAAGTGGTACTTCAACATGACTCATATTTTTAGTCGAGTCCATCCTAATCCCAAGTTTGTTGTTTTTAATTAATAAATTTTATTTTAATATTTTTACGGATACTAAATAAAATGAAACATATTGAAATTTTATTTTTTTTAAATGTTATTTAAGGCCGCAACGCGACAAAGTGGACAAATTTTAAATTTTTTTATATATATATTTTTAACACATCTTCTGCAAAAGGTTCAAATTGAATTTTTTCAAACTGCTTTTAACTTTTAACAGTAAAAATATCATAAACTTTTGCAATAATAGTAAAAAGCCCCTAAGTCTATCTTTATGTTTATATTTCCATTATAATGAAAAATTCGTCAGATGACACAATAAGAAATATTAGGTCCCTTTAGGCCTGCGCGTGCTATTGACATTTGACACAGACACAACACAATTATTGATAGCTTAGCTTTGTGCTATGCCATTGGAGTGCAAGAGACGCAGACGAGACTTCCAATAATGCTGCTATTTCCATTATAATAAAACAATTTCACGTATCTTGCCGACTGAACAGTTTTTACGCGCTGTATTCTCTAGTTTGCTCTTGAGCTCGCAGCGCCGCTCAGTGGAAACCTCGGAACCAAAGGAATGCTGTTTCGTAAAGCAGATGTCATCGTCAGCTGACTCGAGTTTGTTGTGAGATGCTAAATACTCATATGCAACTCCTCGTGACTTCAATTGCAAGAAAAGGTTGCGACCGCGCGTACTTCACTGATTGCATGTGGTGAGTTTTGTGAATTAAATTAACTGTTAATGTAATTGTGCTAATTGAAACTGATTGGAACTTAAAAATAATGGCTTATTATAATTTATATAATTTTCATAATTCTAGCTTTTTCTTATTAATTTCATTGTAAACAAATAATCAAAGTTAAAATCCATTGGAGTTGGAGTGGTATCAAACTACTATAATTAATAAAAAAAGTGCTAAGTTTATATTGCATTTCTTATTATTATAATATTTTGAACTTTCATTAATTTTTAAGGCAAAATTGACTTTTTCTCAAATTTAAATAAATGAAAATAATTTCAAGAATATATTAAAGAAATTTGCTTCATCGCGTAAACAAATTTCACAATAATTTTGCAAATATATTAAAATTTATATTAAACTGCTCAAATAGTTGCACTGGGAAGAAATTATATATTCTTATAAATTAAATTTATTCCCCTGAACACAAAATCAGGAAATAAACTAGGAATATATTATGCAATTAATTAAATATATATTTAATTAAATAATATGATTTTTAGTTTAGGAGTGTTTTTTTTTCAAGAACTAAACTTGAATTTAGTGATCTTTTGAGCGGCGCACCGAGAGGAAAATGTGGTCAACATATTTTAATCTTGAAACCACTTGAAACCAACAAGTTGCTTTCTTTTACAAGTATAAAATACAGCATTAAAAAAAAATGAACGGTTCATTTAAAAAATCTTCTGATGAGGCTTTGTAACTTCAATAATGATTAAAATTTGATTAGGAGTGAATACAGTTGTTAAATGACAGCTGCTCGATTTACAATTAAAGCTACATATTTATTTTTCTACTTCTTTGAAAATTTTGTTACAGAGAGACTAAAAATTAGATGGCTACATTTTTGCAAAAAAGTTTGCCTACAACCGTAAAAGTAATTATTTGCATTATAAAGTTTTTTTTTATTTACAATTGAGTAAACTTTTGTTATGAATGTTGAAAACAAATAATGAATAAACGCTAACAAAAGCCCTTGAGTGATTTTGAGCCACCCGACGCGTGCTTTTCCATCGATTTTTCATCTTTTCAACAGCAAAAATATTCGTCCAATTTCTCCTGCAGCTACATATATTCACAGCACCCTTCAGCAAACACATTCATATGGACTTGCCTCAAACTTTTTTTCTATTCTCTGTTACATGGCCCGAGATTGAAAGGGCAAGGGACATGTACTGCTGAAATCCGAGCTCCCAATAACACTGCTGCGCATGGCAAGCAGATTATAAAATAACATATACACAAGTTCAACCATTTCGCTTCACCACCTATGGCTTTATTGAAAGTGCTTTTGAGCTGCCAAATCTCAAACATGACCAAATTTAGATTGTAAAAAAAAATTAAATTTAATATTATTAAAACTAATTTTGATCATTTGAATCGACCATATTTGACAAAAGCTATGTTGCTGATTATTTTGTCATTAGGATATGGAACAACCAAGAATTAGCTGCTTCGATAAAAGTTTAAGAATGGTGTATCGGCTGAAAACACAGGTGATCTAAAGGTGAAGACGATTCATTTCCGTGTAATCAAAAATGCGCCTTTGTTCTTTGCAAAAAGATTTTACTCGTTGGCCAGGCAGATTTTACAGGCTGGGGGAAGGGGGTACATTTTTATCAGTATAAAATTAATTAATTCCGATTAATTCCAGTCTCAAACTTTAAATTGAACAGAACTCCCATATAGTGATTTGAATTTAAATTTAAATCACCATGAATAAACTTCTACTACAAAACAACTCGCAATTCGCATAATGCATAATTTTATGAAATTTTCTTTTCAATGCTGAACATTAGCATTTTTCTATCCCATAGATTCATAGATATAAACTGCAAATGACAATAATTGATTGATTAATTACCATTTAATACATTGCTAAACAATTATGAAAAAACATCAATAGAAAATTGTAACATTGATTATACAGAAGCATGAATAAACACGATAAAAGGGTATTTTTCATGTGATGAAATTCAATAAATTTAAACTTGTAACTAATTTGTTTGAAGGAGATGATCATGGAAATGAAGCGATCGGGCTTTTCCTCGTTGCAGAAATTTTTTTTATTCAAAAACCATTTGTTTTTTAATACAAACAATTTTCTGCAACGAGGAAAAGCCCGATCGCTTCATTTCCTTGTAACTAATTCATTCAAATTCACTCACTTAAGTTATTAAAATATCTGTATTACTCTGTATAAGTTGAAACGCAAATCAAACAAGTTCTATTTTACTTTCAAAACAAAATTACGCAAAGCCCAAAGTTTTAATCAATCTCAAAGCAAATAGCACAAATTGAAAAGTTTTCGCGATTGCCAAACTATCAACAAATTTCTTTTTATCTGATTCCAAGTCAGCAAAAATAATGAAAAAGCACTCCACTTTTAGAAAGGCGAAAAGTCGTCAGAGTTGATTTTTATATTATTCCTCGCGCACTTTCTCGTTCTTGCACGTCGCCGTGTAATAAAATTCGCCTTAGCCCGGGCATAACTCTTCTCTCCCTTATACATATCAGCAGCTTTCCGCTCTCTCATGGTAATGCAAAAATGACAAGCGCGGAAAATGCCATCGCATGAATCATTTGCGAAAGAAAGGGGCGTACATTGCTCGAATTCTCTCTCGTGTCAGAGATGATGACGCGGGATCTGCTTCTCAACCAGAAAACATTATTCATCTGATTCATCTCTCTTCAAACCTCATCCTGTCCTTCTCATTTTGAAAACATTGCTTCATCTCCATACCCCTGAACCAACCAATGAAGCAAATGAATAATCCAGCGGTTTCTCATCCTTGCTGTCCCTTCTGCAACTTTTCATATCAAACTCCATTTCGGCTTTTGAGCCTCGAGCACTCCTGGAGCATTAAATCATTTTTTTTTTTATTGGAGTAAAAAGAATTTTCAAAGTTAAATTTAATTATAATATAATAAATTCTTTTTGAAATTTGCTAATTTTTGTTATACCAAATTGTTAATTCTTTTTTTTATAAAATAATGAATTAATATTGAAATATTGTGCCATTAGAAGGATACTTTTTGGATATAAATAAAAAAATCTCTTGTAGGAACAACTAACCATGAAAATCCTTTAAAATACAAAATTTCAAATTGTTCTGTATTACATTTTAAAAATAATGATAATAATAATTGAATATCAACAGATCTGTACAAAAATCCTCATTGCTTGTATAACAATTCAAGCGTTTAGTTTTTTTGTCAAGCCAAGACAAAGTGTCTTATTGGCCTGTGCCCTTATAATTCTTATTGTTATTTTTTTGTTACTTTTGTTTTTTTTTAAATTTGTTATTCAAATTATTTTAAAATTATAAATTATTTCTGCCACAATAAACTTTCAACTTCAGCATGCAATAGAATGAATGGAACTAATGGTTTAATTATAATACATGTTAAAAACAGTTTTTAATAATTTTTTTAATAGAGATTTATTCAAGAGTATAATTAATTATTGTTTACTATAAATCATTATTTAATTAAAAATGCGAAGTTTTGCTGCCTAAACTTGGTAGGTCGTGAATTTTGGCGTCGCGCCTGTCTAATAAATAACAAGTGCACCTCTTGACACCTTCTCGCTGTCTTTTGTTTTTGCAGACACCTTCTACTTCGTGGTACGAAGAAAATTTCGCAAACAAAGCATCCCACTTTCAGCCCTTTGAAACCTTTCGGTGGAAAAATAATGCCTCGCCTGCTGTGTGGTGGAACCGCGCCTGCCAGGGAGGCGACGGACGACGTGCAGAATGTGTGCGATCAGGTGAAAGCGCGCGTCGAGCAAATTGCAAACAAGCACTTCGACGAATTCAAAGCGATCACGTACCGACCGCAGACTGTGGCTGGGACCAACTACTTTGTTAAGGTGAGTTGAGTTGATTAATTTGATTACTAAAGTTTCCAGTGTGGTTTTCTTACAATTAAATTAGTTTATAAGATTATGATTTGCATATAGTGGATTTGACCACTACCATGTTTTTGGGACATAACACGCAAAATAATGATAGCAAAAATGCATTAAAATGACTATTTAACTAAAATAAATAATCCATTCAGAAAAGACCTAGCAAACTTTGGGTATATTACTCCTTCAATTTAAGTCCTAGGAAATCTCTACGAAAAAAAAACAATTATTCAAAGAAATTTGTATTTTGTCCACCTAATATTTATTTGTGTATACCTTGGCAATTTCTTTGATCGTCAGAAGACAAAATTTTTTTCTTCTTCTCAAGGTTTCCACGGGCGATGGGAGCTTTTTACATCTGCGGATTTACAAGAATCTCCAGGGACAAGTTGAGCTGAGCGGAATACAGCCCGACAAAGGTGAAGTGGATGAGATTGAATACTTTGAGAAACATCTTGATTAATATATCAGATGTAGAGAAGGACTTTCCTGTTTGGTTCTTTTTCCAGTTTTTTTTTTTTTTACAGAGGTCTAACATAATAATATCTACAACTTTTCTTGCTATGAAAAATCAAGTTCTTTTTGTGCTTCGAAGTTTTATTAAGGTGTAAAATGGAAAAAAATAGAACTGAATATTTCATACTTTCTGATTTATTTTCTGTAGCAATACACCTGTGAAATTTTGGTTTCAATTTTTAATAGTAAGTTTTAACGCTAAATAGATCATGAATATTCCTGCGCGATAAAAGAAAATGAGGAGAAACAACATTTTTTTCAGACAAAACATTCCGCCTTCTATTATTTCAGGCCCGCAGATTCATCCAATTAGTGTTAAAAATACAAAAAATTATCATAATTACATATTTGACTGGATGAGAAATTGATTGTAGCCTACCGGTGTTTTGCCATGTAAAAAAGTAAGTGTTGAATAATAATTCTAGAAAAGATTCGGCTATAATTTACTGCGATACAAAATTTAAATTGTATTTTATTTTGCAGTCACCACATTTCAGAATATTTTGTTCATTCTTGTTTATAAGTAAGCAAGAAATCATCCTGTTGCTGAGCAAAAAGAGATAAAATTAATGTTTAGTACAAAAGCAAGCTTGCGTAAAAGAAAAGGGGTCAAATAATGAGACGGGGGAGAAAAGGGGAGTGGAAAAAAGTTATCTTTAATAACAACTCCGCCAAATGAGCATGTACATACTTAACATGCAACAAAAAGTATCTCTTGAGGGAAAAGTTTGAAAAGACAGAGCGGATGGTTTTTTCAGAGGGATATTATAAATCAAGCCCTCCGTGTGCTTAGGTCACCACTTGCAATGCGTCATTCCCATAGTCGGAAGAATGACAAGGGACGAGGGAAAATTATTAAACCACAAAAACCACACATGAGATGAAGCCTGGTTTAATTTCTAGCGAGATAGGACGAAACACTAAAATAAATTGCACGAAATACAAATTAATTCTTTTTCATAAAACAATTTTCACTTCATTCCTCGTAGCAATAATATTAATCAATATTAATAAAAAAAAACTTGTTTTTGAAGAAAAGAAAGTTAAAATGAATTCTCAAGACATTTATTTCCATCTCTGGTCGGTGGCCAAGACCATAATTAGCTTGTTTGCACAGACCGCATTAATAAACAAAGCAAATATTTTCATGTTGAGCTAATTTTTCTTAACAGCTTAAAAAAAATCTCATTTATAAATGTTATATAATGTTTGCTTTTTGGAGCGCACTAGAATTTCTTGTAACTGAATTTTCCATCTACAAAGCTGGAGCCTTTTTTGTTAGCTTTGTATAGAGCTGCTTAAAAGGAAATTTATAGCAGGCAGTTGAAAACAGGAGTCCAATTAATGAACAAATAAGTGACAAACAGGCAAAGTAATATTTTCAAGTTCTGATATCGCACGAGTTAATTAACTGAATTCCAAGATTTAATAAGAGAAAGATCGCTTCACTGCACATCTCCGAAACGTGATCAGTGAAGCTTCAGATCAATGTGTATTGTCCTTTTTTACAAAGAAAAATAAAACAAGTGTTTTCTCCACCGTCCAAGCAATGACTGGGTTGTATTTTTGAGAGGAAAAACATTGCCACTTGATGTGGCAGGGCTTGAGAAAATCTCTCTGCAATATTGGCAAAGTTGGTGAGGGGTGAATGAAAAGTTGTGCCTGAATGAACATTGCAGAAAAATCGTATGTTGGTCCATCTGCCTCAATCTCAGAGAGAACATAACTTCCAACCCTCTTGATTTTTTCCCCACAGAGGGTGTGGAAGAAAAGCCGCAAGAGCGCTTCATTAAAAAGTAGCAGAAAGAGGCTGCGGACTCATCAAAAATAAAAAAATAAATCGCTTCCGTATAAAGCGCGTGTGGCATTCGCGCGAGCAGTGTTTCCCGAGAGGAAATCGATCGGCGCAGAAAACGTTCCCTATTCAATTAGATAAACCATTTCAATCGCGTTACACTCGAGTTACTATATTGGATTCCAATCAAATGATCAATCTTCGCCAGTCTGAAAAAGATTATTTCGCCAGACCGCAGCCGGACGGGCTTCTAAGCCACTGACTCGGACCGGCGTAATGAAGATTTAGCCTGTGGTGAGTTTATTTAGCCAATTCGGTTTTGCATAAGCCGCGGCGTGTGTGCAATTTTATTGAAATTGCTTTCGCTCTTGGTCTCAAAATATCACAAGGCTATCCATGTGGAAGATGGTTGCATGATGAAAAACAAATATTAATCTCAATTATGCCAGAGCTTAATTAATAAAGAGTCTTTGGCATATATAGGCTTGGAAACCGTGCTTTTTTTTTGTTCTTTGAATTTTAGTTTAAAAATTTAAATAATTAACGATCTCATTATTTATTTGTTGCAATTTGAAAAAAAAACATTGTTTTCTGTATTTCTGATGAGTATGCAGAACTTGTGGTAAAAATTGGCATTAAATTTCTCAATGAAAGGGACAAAGGTATCGCGAAAAGTAGGCGATTTGACACAAAATTTATCAGTGAAAATTTAAAATCATTAAATTTTTTATATTATAATTGAAGTATATGAAAATTTCAGCGAGATTTTTCCCGTATTCCAATTTCATAAACGTTTCCTGAAAAGTGCCTGTTTCATGAGAACTATGAGATAATTATTTATTATTCTTCTTCTCATGTCACGCCGAAAAAACTTTTATGAAAAGAGCACCATGTTTACTCAAATTTTTTGAAAGACGCATCACCGGCATTGCTACGCAGACCTCAAATTTTCAAGATCATTACTCAAAACACGTCTCTGGAGTTGTAAAACTTGGAGCGCGTTGTTGCAGAGGACAAGTGAAAAAGTGATTCGTAAAGGCTCCCCGTAGAGCTCGGACGGTCGGTTGCTCTCATAAATATAAATAGAATATTCGTTGACGGATCTGGACCTCATGTCTGTGCGAATCAATCGATTTTCATCCAATAAAACTACAGAGCCTGCAAGCGGAGGAGTGTGTCTGTCCAGTGGAGCGAAAGCTAAATGTTCACTGCGACAGGACGTGCACAATTTTTTGGTCATTAATTTAGTGTTTTTGCTGTAGGCACAAATATTAAGCAAAATATAACAGCAGTTTGAGCAGTTATATCCACAATGAATACACACATAGCTCCCAAATGTTGACAAAAGGGAAAATTTGATTACAATATTTCTTATAATGATGGCAAAATGACGATTTGAAAAAAAATCTCTTTAATTTTGTTCAAAAATAATCGCAAGCTGATAATTTTTAGAAATTATTTGTAAAAGTGAAACTGTGAAACTATATTATTGTTTTTTATGTTTATTCAAATTCTAAAGTCAAGTCAAATAAGAAAAAAAATACAAAATGTGAAGTATCGGCAACACCTCTGGCCGTTTGAATTTTGAAATTTTTTAATTAATTTATTTATTTCTAAGTAAACTAAATTCTAGTAAATTTAAGAAAGCAACTAGCTTGAGCAAATAATAGCAATTGTAGAGAGCATAAATAAGTTCCACAAGACCAAAAGAGTGCAATGGGAAAACTGAAAATTAAGAATTTTATCTTTAGAAACTTTGTTAATAACAGCGCCGGGATATCATTATATAAAATTATGAACAAATTTATGCTCTGAAAATATGATAATTTTTACGCGCCTGATTATAATTATTTTATTTGAGATGAATTAATTAAGATATTTTTTAGGAATAGCAAACTTTGTGATAGGAATTTTGGTAAACTTAAAATTTGTTATCCAAACGAATGCTAGATTGCGGAATTTTATCGTTTTATAATAAAAATATTTACTTATAGGACCCTAATCTAAATCAGCATCTAGTCAAATCATGCCTCTTGCAGCCTCATGTGTCTCATGTAGCAAGGAGTAATTTAACTTTTGTTACATAATTTTCATTACTATATGGCATTCACCAAAAAGTTTTTCTCATTATTCTCAGCTGGCATTATGAGGAAGTTTATGGCGTGCATATTAAAATATTTTTCCTTGAAAATATTTGCCATAAACAAAGGGCTGGGGTTTTTTCATACTGAGCGATGCAGCGCAAAAAAACCTCGAGAGGAATTACACAATACTCTGCAAACAAAACAAATTTTCAAACCTCGAAACTCGGCACGCTCATACCTAACCAGCCAAGAAAATGAAGGAGGTGTCGAGAGACAAAAGCGAGCCCAGGAAGCAAAAACGAGGTGAGTAACAAAAGCCTAACAATGAGAATGTTTCACAAATTAAATTTGGAAATATAAATATTCCCACCCGCCGGGCCCGACGTCGCAATTAGGTTCAGCACAAAAGCACAAAAGCGTCGGGTCAACGGCGGTGCACCCTCGGATCCTCCGAACCAGATGGTCAGACAAGTGCATGCGCCGCGGCGTAGGGCGTCGGTGCGTGGCGGGTGGCGTGCCTGCGACTCCCTTTCAGTCTGCAGCAGGATGGTCGTCGAGGCGCCCGCTCTTTTCGGGGGCGGCTCCCACCGTTTCGAACTCAATCTGTCAGCCCTGGACGAAGCGGCCCTGGCCAACCTGACCTTGTCCCTGCACGAGGTGATCAAGGACTTCGCCAGCAGCATGTTTGTCTACCACGAGCCGGGCAACGTGGCCCTCATCTCGTGCTACGTGCCGCTCTTCCTGCTCGCGGCGATCAGCAATGCTCTTGTCATCGGCGTCGTTTCCAAGTACAACCACCTGCGGAGGTAAATAAAACTTGTTTTCAACCTTTGGAAGTGAAATTGTGTACTTAGCGTTATTTATAAGTTTTAATTAAAATTATTATTTCTGTTTGATGTAAATTTTTTTTCAAGCGCTCCGAGAAAACCTTTTTGATGAAAAGAGCCACCGTTTTTTGCAATCAACATTATTTAGAATTCACAGCCCACAGGAAAATTTTTACTCTCAACGCTTGTTAAATTTGTCTCAAGGGACACAAGTTTTGTTGGATAGGAAGGAAAGAACCATTTCATCAAGTTTCTATATTGGAGAGATTGTGAGATTGCGTTTGAGATCAATATTTCATGCAAGCGTGCTGAGCAAGTTTAATATCCCGTTAAAAGTTATTAAACTTATCCCTGCTTCCACTCTTGTACGATTTGCTTTTAACGCGCAAAATGAAAGATGTTTCAAAAGTACTTGTTGCTGTTCATTCAACTTGAATTTAATTGGATCAAATTACGAAGTTATCGGCCCCAAAAAGGGGAAATTCCGAGTTATTGGCCCTTGCGATTCAGCAGGCCTGTCTACTACCGCTGATGCCTTTCCCAAGAGGGATGATAAACAATTAAAAAAAAAAATTAACGTTCGCCCGTATCTTTTAAAGGTTATTTTAGGAATGCCTAAAACAGTAAATTAATTTACTAGTCATTGTAATTAAAACCAATTATATTCTTTTAGAGAAGGGTTCAATAACTCAAAATTGACGGATCAATTTTGAATAAGACTCCACAATCTAAAAGCAAGACGAAAACTTGATAATTGCTTATATAATTATAGATTAAATTTTTTTGTATCCACTACATATTCTCCTGTAGATAAAAAGAATTAAAATTAAGAACGCAATGAAAATTGAACTAAATTATCTGTATGCATCTCTTGGGGGCCCAATTAATTAGAAAAGAGATAAATCTGATTTTTAATTTTCCTCGGCAATAATAATTATAAATAATAATAATAAATTCTAAATTAATGAAATTTTTGCTCTTAAATGTGATATAATATCGGACAATATACTTTTTCGCGCAATGAAAAATAGGAAAAATAGTGTATAACATGATTTTCTAACTGAATTTAATAAACTGAGAAACTACATATTAGTGTACAATCATGCATATAATCTACAGTCATACATGTACTGAAAAATTGAAATAGGTTTTTTTTGAGAAAATTTATTCAATCTCTGGAAAATTCAACGCGAAAATTGCATCTCTCCATAATGAATTTCTGAGCCACATTCACTTGCCCATTAGTGATGAAGCAAATTTCTCAAATTATAATTTACAATAATATGCCTGAGGGAAATTCTGAGCTTGCTTTCAAAGGACAGTCAAGTAAATTATGGAATTATGCTTTCAGGGCAGTGAATGGCTCTCCCAGAATAGCACTCATCTGCCCTCTCATAACTACGGAGCACTTTGGTTGGTCTCAATTGAACTTAAAATTTCTCGTCTCATTTTCAGAACGCGCGCCACACTTATACTAATTCCTCTCACATTTAATTAATTTTCAAAAATAATAAATTACAGCACTATACATAGTTTTTAACTCAGGTTGGAAAAAATTGCTAGTTTCTCCTGTTTCAACCATGTGTTGACTTAAAAAAAATGACATGCTTTCAATTCCGGAACACTTTTTTTTGCGACTAAGTGCAGTATTTTCGGAGTCTAGCGGACAAGAGTGGCTGGACCAACCCTAATGAGACTTTAAAAAAATTGTAGCAACTCATCAAAAGAGAAACCGCATTTTTTCATCACCAACAACAGCAAGCTCCATTTTCATCACCAAAATAATCCTTTTATGTAGCAAAATGAGCGAAGCGGTCGTTACGCTCCAAGGGAGACGCTGTCAGTTGATTCTTTCCCGGATGAATGGAGATTTTAATTAAGTTTCAAACTAAATTACAAAAAAAAAAGAACAGAAAAAGTCAAATATATGTTTTGCGTATTGTTAATGTTAAAAAAGTGAAATAAAAAGGGTTAATTTGGAATAAATATAACATTTTAACCAATATTTGATCAATTAAAATTTGGAATTGAAAATTAATGCTGGGTTTTAACATGCGCATACTAGTAAATGCGTTTGCAAGATAAATAATCAGTGGACGAGACCTTGCTGTCACACAGGCGTGGTTTAATTACTCGCCGTGGATAAGGATGAAAATCAATCAAACTGTATTAGTAACGTGATCAACTAAATCCACCCACAGCTGTAATTTCAGTCGATGTGCCGCGTAGTGAGAAAAGTTTGATGACGGTCATTATTGACAGCCACGTTTTATTTAATTGGAAACCAGTTTATTCCAACGCGCCGCAAAGCTCCAGTTCTAATGAAGAATCTCCGACTCATTCCAATATAGCTATCATTCCTTCTTCATAAAATTGATTTCTTTTTTTACTTCAAATAACTCATCATTTTCAAACTTGAACTCAAATTTTTCTGACGCTTTTTATAACTCACAGCTGCAATATTTATATAACTTCACTCCAAAAGAATGATCTTGAAAATATAATTTGAGAGTGAAGAAGCTAAAAATGAAGGAATATGATATGATAAGAGTTCGTTCATTTATAATTACATTCCTACCCTCTCTTTTTCTCGTTTCATCCATTATGAGAAAAGTTTTGGAAAAAGATAAATAAGTACAGTGTGAGGAATACAATATATTAATGAAGATAATATGGTAGAGTTATTCTCATATTTCCAGGTATTTTTTGGAAAAAAATATTTCCTGTCTTCTTAGAAAGTAATTAATGTCTCATTCACTTTATGTTATTATATCTTCAAGTGTTCTGGAATGTGCTGGGTGCACCTAATCTGTTCTGCATGATTTTCGCAAGCATAGGAAAGTCAGGATTGGTCAGGATACAAAAATTTGTAGCCACCATTTTCATCTCGAGTCAGACCTGTGAGCATCAATTCAGTCACCATAGAACAACATACTTGGAAAATTGGATAAATCTCCCTCCGGTAGCCACATGCCCACACAATCTCGGTTCTCGCAGGGGAAAGAAATCTCCCCTGTCCACTACTTGACCACCTACACTGCACCCATGATTATATTATTTCGTAAAGAATTGCGTGTTCAACCATCTGGGCTATAAATGTATAGAAGAGATTACATTGAACGACAAGTTTTTGCTGTTAAATTTTTCGTCGGGAATATTATTGCAAGTAGTGTTGGAATGAAATATCGTACTGATCATGATTGAAAAAATTATTTTTTATGGGAAAAAACATTAATTGACTATTTGACTAACTGCAAACCTATTTCATTACAGCTCATTGCTTTTCAGTTTGAAAAAAAAACTATTGGACAAGGAAAAGCCCTGTTTTTTTTTTCATTTCATCAGCAAAGGTGAATAGTATTTCTACCATCATTTTTTTAAATATGATAAAAATCAAAAAATACTTTAAGAGAATTTTGCTTGTCATTTGAGTTTGCAGTAAAGAATTTAATTACATCCCTTTTGCCTGGCTGCGTGGGAATCAAAATAAAACAGGGAATGCACGCTTTACACCTGTTTTACATTATTACGCAGTTTGATCAGCCTCGCCCACTCAACCGCTTCATGCCATACACGTACAATCCGAAAAGGGGATTTGTGTCGCTGGATACACCGCGATGAAACTCGTCGTATCATTTTAGGAACCCGGGTTGCCCAGGCCTGTTACCTCTCATATGGTCACATATGCACGTTTCTCTTACGAATTTGAAATTCAGTGAGCTTCACCACAAATCCCGGCGGACGAGAGCTTTGGCAAATAGGGAGAAAAATGAGTATAATATATACCATGATATTGCCAAAGGATGACAAGATATTTTATGGTTTGCGTTTGAAAATTTTCATCTCTATGCGAAAAATCCTAAAATACACAAGAAAAATGAAGAGGTTTGTTTGGTTCTGAAACTTGAAATTGTTGATTTTTATCTGAATTCTGAAGTAAAAATGGACGGTTATATATAGTTTTGATTTTATACAAAGTAGTTGATAAATATTTATAAATAAATAATTATACTATTTTCTGTATTAAGTGGTTGAAATTATCGGCCGCATAAAATAGTTAGAGTCTGCAGTCCGCAATTTTAAAACAATCGCAAGAAAATGGTATTTTTGAATTGAGATTTTTTATTTAATTTATTGAATTCAAATTTTCCAAATTATTTACTACTGATTGTTCAATCAAGTCATGCAAATTGATGAAAAAAAAATATGAAAAAAAGAGCAGAAGGGTTGTCACACCTAGCAGAGATCTGCTAAAACGCCCAACTTCGATCAAAATACGGTCGCCATGGAAAATCTGTCTTGGATTAAAAAATAAAAAATTATTCAATGAAAAAATTTCACGTTTCTCTTTCTCACAATCAATAAATGTTAGTCTTCCATCCCATCAAATAAATTGATTTATTTAATTACAATTTTTGACGTTAATCCACTTTACAAGTCAAAATTTGTTTACGCGTGCAAAGTCTCTTATTAAAATGAATATGAAAAACTGAGTGCAAGTTTTGTCCTTCACTTTAGGAAGCAACCATTGTTTTACCTTTTCTATTTACCGTTATTCCTGTAAGTTAAACGCAAGGTGTTGCAAAGTTTTAGAATTTGTTGATGACAACCCTTAAGGGGCATACACAAACCTCGTTTAAGGCGAATGCTGCGTTGATTTATTATAGCTAATATATCAAACTCTCTTTCAAGGCTAAACTTTGCCTTACGCTATTTTTCCACCATCTTCTTTTGTTGATATAACGCACATGGTACAAAGCATCCTTTTTGGCATAATTAATAATAAAGAATCTTCGCAGCAGGGAATGCATCGCATGTTTTGTTTGCTAAATTTTATTAAGAGGAGAAAAGAAAAAAAACATCTGTGCAAAGCTCTATTGATCATACTTTTGTAATTTGATTCCACCCAAGGCTGAGAGCAGCTCAAACATTTGTTTATCAGCTGCTTACTATAATTAAATTTCGACCAGAGTTAAAAG